CAGGGGTACTTTCGTCTTTTCTCTTGATAGAAGAGCCTTAGAATATTATTTCCCATTTTATAGGATTTTCTTGGAATTCTTTGTATACTCTTCCATTTTTACCCCTGTTGGTCATAACTTTCTGAATTTACGATTCAGTCCCTGCTTGGACTTAGCTTCATACAATTCTCTCTTTGAGGTTTCTAGCTTAACCGTTGGCCTGTAACTAGCCTCTTTTCTTTTTTTGATTATACTTGAGCCCCTAAAAACTTTTACTTTGCAGTTTAGTCCCTGAAACTGCTTTGACTTTCTTTCTCATCTTTAGGACTTCTGCTCAAAAGCGGTCTGGTAGCCTATCCAATTCAGGCTATTTCTGGTACTTCTAGACCCAAAAGTTTGGATGTTACACTCTCTCAGCTGATCCTGACTACGGATCTTAGGCTTAGTCAGAACAGGGATAGGTACTGTGGGTGTCGGGGGTATCCCTGGCCTGGTACTAGGTCCGGGGATGTCGCTTGGGTGCATACTTAAGGTAACAAGCTGTCTGTGAGACTGAATATCAAAACTAGGGTCCACTGGTTCTTGATACAAATCATTTGTGGGATCCACCGGGTCACTGGGTGCGGGAAGGTTCATTACATCCTTAACAGTAACCCCTAAAAGGTTAGCCCCATGCTCTGGATAATTGTTGGACTCCTTTGCTAAGTATCCTGGGCTAGTAGTCCCCATAGTCCATCCCACCGGATCTGCTTTGGTGAGATCGGTCATGTTAATATCCCAATCATTGATCGAGTTCTCAGATCTAGCGTCCCAATCCATTGTGTTTTTCATCTCAATTCCTGCAAAGGTTTGTCAGTTTCTCCTTAACTAACCCCGATATCTAACGCATAAACTCAAGCATAGCATTCTATCCTATGCCAGAACCTCTGCTCTGATTCCAAAAATATCACACCTTACTATAAGATCCACTTAGGTTTAATTAAAACCATTTTAGACCACCTTGCATGGTATTGAGCTCAAAAATCCATAAAAAACGCTGATTTTCAGATTTTTACTGTTTATTAGATAAAAATCTAGTTTTTTGGCCCAACTTCAAAAATTCATAACTTAATCAAGAAAAATCAAAATGGAGTTGTCCAAAATTCTATGAAAATCTCTTTTAATGCTTCTTCAAGAAAAAATAACCTTATCAACCAATTCTATTTGAAAAAGTGTCAGGTTTTTCTAAAATTTACCTCTATCCATTTGGCAAAAATCCTTTTTCCAGATTCTGAACTATAACTTTAAAAAATCATTAAAAATTGTGTAGTTGGTCATTTTTAACATGATACCTATAGATTTGAAGCTTAGGACGTGAAATTTAAGTATACCAAATTTCGTGAAAAAATTCGTTCGGTAACTTACTAAAACGTGGCTCTAATTTGGTGTCCTGCTTAGGGATTATAGCACCAACCATAGATACTTATACATAACCAAATACAAATATTTCCTCATGGCTCATCACCATATTAATCCTTGGATTTATAGCCTCCCTTTTGATGATTTAGTCCCTAAAATGTTAAGTCACATATGGGGGATGAGATTTTAATGAAATCCCAGTAGCAAGATTAATCAACCAAAACATTAATATGCATCAATTACAAGCATTCCAACCTTTTGCTATTAATAGGGAACTACTTTACCTCATACATGTAGCACTCTAACATGTAATAGCCAAGGCAATAAAGCAAGGAGTATAGCTACATAATCATCATCATCATCTAGTTCAACCACATAATAGCACATGAAATTGCATAGCAATCAATGCAACACTCAACATTAAGGTCAATTAAATCTTACTACCTTAATCCAATGCTCTTTGATTTTCTTGTTCTTCTTTCTTGCTTCCTCAAATGCCAAACCCTAACATGGCAATTCACAAAAAGGGCAGCAAGAATCATCAACCATTCCTTATAAAAATCAATAACATAATTCAAGGACAACCTTTGTCCCTTAAAGCTTCCACCTTTGTTCTTTAAATTTTAGAGTTTGTTTCCTTAAACCCTAAAAATTCCCTCTTGACTCATTCCTACATTATTTTTCATGTAGATTCCAAATATCTACTTGGATTTAACAAAATAAAATTCCTTCTTTCAGTTTCAGCTTGGCCGAACCACTATGGTTTACTTTTCAAAAATTACAACTTTGATTCTGTGGCTTCCAACATTTGTTCTTTAGGTTTACCCTACATTATTTTCCATTTTGAATATCATGGAAGCATCAAAACATTAAAAAACTCATCCTAGGTTCTAGTTTTCTTCTTGGCCGAATAGCACCTCTTGAAAACCAACTAAGAAAGCTTCCAAAACCAAGATCAAATCACTTGAAACTACTACAATTTAAAGTGTTCTAGCTAGTTTGAACAACAAAACTTCCCTCCCCTCTTTATATTTATTTCGTCCAGCACAATAAAAGGGAAAGAACCAGAATTTTCAACCATCAAAAATAAGATAATCAAGCAAGGAACAACATAGAATCAACTACCAACATTAACTCCAAGCTTACTTGATCCAAGATGGTTGCTTTCTCCTTGTTTCCACTTCAAGCTCACTCTTTTCTTTCTTGATCTCTCCTTGGTCGAAACATAGATATGAAAGTAGGGGAGGAAGACCTCACTTAATGCTCCTAAAATATCTCACCTACCAACATTAATGGATGCCAAGTGTCAAGTGCCTACTCTTTCTTGAATTTTCCCTCTTAATCATTTAATTCCAATTGTAATTAATTTTCAAAAGTCAAACTCTCCTCCACTTGAGGTGTGACACTTGGAAAAATTAATTACTCTCTAATAAGGGCTTGACAAGTGGTAACTTATAGGCCAAGCAAAGTGCAAGACTCTTATTAACACTTTATCGGTGCACTTTTACTCTGGGTTTTAACTTCTCTATAATTACAATGCTCTGGCCTCTATAATTATTTTCTATCAGATCCATAAATTATTCTCCTCATTTTTATCTTCCTGAATTGCCCTCTTTGTCTCCAATTTAACTTCCCAATAACTAAATAAAAAGGAAAACTAATTTCCTTCTCTTTAGTGACTTTTCCACATTTTCAGAGGTCTTCTTTTAATTTCATAATCTCTTGTAATTCCTTGGAATATCATAGAAATTTTCTTGGGATTTTATCCTCTTTAAAAATATTTATTTGGAATTTTCCAAATAAAAGGCCTTAAACTAGCTTAAATTGCCCTTAATTTCCTTTGTAATTTTTCTAAGGGCAAATTGGTCATAAAACCAATTTTATAATCTCATATAATTCTCAAAGAACCTTGTCCTTATTTTTTCTTAATTTTCTAAGGCTTGGAAATATTTGTTCATAACTATTCTTGGCCAATCTTCCTTGATTAGTCAAACTTTTCATAATTGGCTTGGAAAACTACAATAATTATTTTCCACCAAAATTCTTTTATTTCTCCTTGTCATTTTTTACCCTTAATTATTTAGAAACATTTCTTATTCCTAATTACCATAATGCTGGATGTGACAGCTATTAAGGAAACCTAATGGATTTGTGAAACTCCCAATATCTTAAGTGAACTATGATTGTCATCAAAACCATTCTCAAGAGATTTCCTATCATTCATTTCCATTCCATCATCATTATCCAAAAATACCAAAAATATAGTAGCTTAGGTTTTTTTTTAATTGTATTTAGTTTAGTTGCATTTCAATTTAATCTTAAAAACCAAACCCCTTTTCATTACATTGCGTGGCATTTAGTCTAACTTAGGTAATTAATAAAGGCTCCTAAAAGTGAAACAACCCCAGTTTGCACTATACTGCATAACTTGGATTTATATTTGATTGAGAACCCCAAGGCAAATGACAAAGGTCCTCATCATGTCCCAACCATCAATGCTCAAAATCAAACCTAGTACAATACTTCTATGAAGGATTATTGGTGTATTATAAGGAGACTATTGATGTTGCTGCATATGGATCAATCCTAGAGCTCACTCCTGATAATGCTTGGAGTCAACTAGAGAGGATGGCCAACAACAATCAATAGTACTACACAAGAGAATCTCAAGGAGGGCAATTATCTTCCACAAACCCTTTGCAAGATAGTTTGTTGGAGAGATTGTTACACATCACCGAAAAGATGGATAAAAGAGTGGAAAATTTAGAAAAACAAAGAAGTTTGAGAGCTGTAATGCCGTCAACTACTCATAAGCACTAGTTAAACCATCATGTGAATATTGTGCATCAACCATGCATATGAGTGATGATTACCCAAGTCACTATGAGGAAGTCTCTGCTATGTATCAAGGTAGACAAGGGCAATACTCACAGAAGAACCCATATTCCTCAACTTACAATAAGGGTTAGAGTGATCATCCCAATTTGAGATGGAAGACTAATGATGATAGGCAATTAAATTCACAATAGAGATTTCAGAATCAAAAGACACCCTTCGATTCAAACTCAAGAGTTATGGTCCCTACTCAGAACAACTCTTCTTCTCCAAAAGACAGTGTTACTGAGTTGGTTAAAGCTATGAAAGAAGGAATGAGTGATTTGGGTGAAAGGATTGAAAGTACTACAGCTTCTTCTAATTCCAAACTTGTTGCCATGGAAAGCAAGTTTGATAGCAAGTTTGAACAGTGGGAAAATAAAACAAACAATCTTTCTGGCCATGTCACTCAACTTGCTAACTCATTGAGTAAAGTACAAGCTAAAATTGGAGGAAATTTACCTTCCAACACTGTGGTGAATCCAAAGTCTCTGAATGCAATATCCTTAAGGAGTGGGAAGCAAGTTGGAGCTAATGAAAAGCAAGTGAGATTTACAGAAGAATGTTGTCACAAGGAATTAGATTCTACACCTATTGTGTAACCTGAAAGTAAAAAAGAGAGGTCACTCTTGCAATAAAAGAAAAATTCTCATACACATTCTGGAGATAAGGAAGAAGCTGAATCTTCCTAGGTGTAAGAGGAGAACATAGAAGTCATAAGTAACAAAAAACCAATACATGCTTCTCAAATGATCAAGCAGAAAGAGGAGGTAAAAATTTCTAATTTACCATTTCCTAATTCATTTCTAGTATCTAGAAAATTGTCTAACAATCAACTTGAGAAGGATGCTATGAATTTGTTTAGTAAACTTGCTGTGAATGTCCCTTTACTTGATTTCTTGAAAAGAGCACCTAAATACGTGAGATTTCTAAAGAAATTATGCACTAATAAGAAGAAATGTAAACCTAATGGGAAAGTGCAATTGGGCTCTAATGTATCTGCCATTTCTAAACCTCAACTCCCCATTAAATGTGCTAATCCTAGATCTTTCACAATACTTTGCACTGTTGGTCAACTGAATATTGCTAATGCTCTTTTAGACTTAAGAGCTACAATTAATGTGATGCCTCTTTCTTTATACACATCTTTAGGCATTCAAACAATTAAGAGCACTAGCATGTTAATACAACTTGCTGATATGACTGTTAGGAAGCCAAAAGGGTTACTGGAAGATATCATGGTAAAAGTCAAGGACTTGGTTATCCCTACAGATTTTTATGTTTTAGATATGGACGCCCCACCCCATATTCAAGAAACATTGATTTTGGGTATGCCATTCCTTAGAACTGCTAATACGGTAGTAAGTTTGAAAGATGGATACATAACCATAGAAGTAAGGGATAAGAAAATTCAGTTTGATGTTTATGAAGCAATGAAACACCCCTTTAAAGATTATTCACTTTTGGATGTCAATGCTATTGATTGTTTCATTGATGAGGCTAAGGTAGAGTATGAGTGTTCCTTGCATAAATTGAATGAGGAAGAAACTTTGGATACTGGTTTTTCTTTTCTTGATGTTAATTCTCTTTTTTGCCTTGATTCATTTTTGGATGATAAAGATGACGTGTGTAGTATTGACTCTTTGACAGTTGATAGCTCACTTTCCACTTTATCATCTTTTTCTTTTGATCTATCTTCTACTAATGATGAGGTATTTTCTCATGCATCAAGCCAAGAGCTTGGAAACGATTTTGTGTCTGATTTTGTAGAAATGGAAAAGCTGGCCCAAAGTATATTGACCAAGGAAAAGGAAGAAGTTAATGCAGGTGATTGAGCTCAAAATATTAGTTTCTTTTCATATCATTATCCATGATTTTGTCATACTTTCTGGTCCTTTTTAATGAAAATTGTGCTTAACTGAGATTTATGGTTCTTACTTTAAGTTAGTGTCATTTTGAGGATTAAATTGTCATAATTGGTTGTTAATTGGATTCAATTAACTTCTAGGACAATTGATACTTCAATTTGTTACTTTTTATTGTAGGACACTAAAGATTTGGGGCCAGAATTGAAGAAACCAAGGCAAAAGAAGCAAGAGAAGATCCTCCGCCTAAGTTCGCCGCGGCCAACATCTCACTTCGCCGCGGCGAAAACCCTTCCTTGAAGACAGGTCTCTGCCATGTTTCGCCGCGGCGAACATATTCTTCGCCGCGGCGAACCTCTCGAAGCAGCAATTCTCAGACCCGACCATTTCGGGAAATTTTGACCTACCCATCCCCATAAACCGACCCATGCACGTAAGTTTCGGGTTAGAAACCCTATTTTGGGTATGATGAGAGGGGATGACAATCATTCAGCCACCACCTACGTATCTTTCATCCTTTTCTCTCATTTCCACCTCAGAAACCCTAATCCCATTTCTATTTCTTCCATCTGCTGCTACCATGGCTGAAGAACAATATCTGGTTGGAGTTGATTCAAGAGTTATGACTAGCTAAGCTTCTCAACTCTTGAATATGGTAGAAGGAGCATGAGTTCACAAAGCTTCAAAGGGGAGTTAGCTTCATCTATAAGTTCTAGTTCTTTGTTTATGAATTTCTAGGTCTTAGGATTTGTAAATTTGGGCTGAACTATTTTGATTATGGTTGTAATCAATTCTGGATGATTGTCTTGTGTATTGGATTATTAGTGTTGAATTTGAGCTTCAATACATGTGGTTACATGTATGTTTTTATGCAACTCTTTTGATACTCTCTGTCTTGCATGGTAATGTGTGATTGTTGAGTTAATCTGGGCTTGCATTTAACCAAGTGCATTAATTAATCTTAATACACACACTAAGTGAGCTTAATAGGATCTTATGAAATGGGTACCATTGATTAAGATCCTAGACTTAAAGAGTTCTTTAAGGTGTTTCATTTAGAAAACTTGGTGATTTCTACTCCCATACTTATTTTGAACTATGATTGCTTCAAAGCTATATTCAAGAGATTACATATCATTAATTTCACTTCATTACTACTATCTAGAAAAATCCAAAAACATAGTCACTTAGATTCGAATTAATTGCATTTAGTTTTAGCATTTCATCAATGGATAAAAACACCAAAAACCCCTTTTTCATTACTCTGCATAGCATTAATCTAACTTAGACATCTAATTTAGGCTCCCAAAAGAGAACGACCCGAGTTTGCACTACTGCATAGCTTGGATAATTTTTGAGCGAGAACCTCTAAGCGAACGACAAGAAAAGGCTCTCTTTCAAGTGGCGCCGTTGCCGGGGAGCCAAGAAATTGGTTCTCTAGGTTAGCTTGTGCTATTTGATTGACTTTTGAGGTTTTTGATCTTTATGGGTAGCATTTAGAGTAGTTTAGTTGCATATTTGTTCATAGTATAGGTTTTCATCTTGCATAGCATCAAAATTTTTGGAAATACAAACAAATATACTGATTTTCTTGATTTTCAGCATTTCTCACGTTGCATCAGTGAAGTCCAGTGTCTGATAAGCATACTGCCCACTTTCGCCGCGGCCAACATTACCTTTCGCCGCGGCCAACTTTTCGAATTACTGAAGAAATTCCCTCGGGATACTTTCGCCGCGGCCAACCCCTGTTTTCGCCGCGGCCAACTCCCGATTTCAGACATCTGGTCTTCTCTGCAATCTTTCGCCGCGGCCAACCCCTGATTTCGTCGCGGCCAACTTCTCTGAAAGTTTTTGACACTTGCATTCAGCTTCTTTATCTGTGCATACTTACTCATACCCCACCCATACATACTCATACTCATCTATACATACTAATACTCATCCATATACTTTCATACTCACACCTTACACTTGCATCCATCACATTGCATACTTTTATTTGACTTTGTGTGCTGCAAGTCGATTTTGTTACTTTTTCTCTTGTGATACTTATTTTGCATGCCACGAAAAACCAAGCTTGTGCCCTATAACCCTGAGATTGAGAGAAGACTCACAGAGATAAGAAGAGAGAAAAGAGTCGGAGGGACAAGTGAGTTGGTGATCGAGCAAGAGAATATTTCAGTGGAATCTAGCCTATCCAGTAGTGAGAGTGAACCTACTGACCAAGAGATAATGGCTGATTTACCACAAAACCAACCTCATCCTAACCCCAATGCCAACCAAGTAAGGAATGGAGGCAATGGAGGAAATGGTGAGCAAGAGAGAGTGGGAGAAAATAATGGGAACCCTAGAAGAAGAACAATTAGGGAAGCCACCACATCTGATGTTAACTTTGACCCATTTACTGCTGCATGTCCAAATTTTGAAGTTAATTTTGAGATTAAGGGTTTATTGATTAACTCTCTTCCTAAATTTCATGGCTTGACAGGAGAAGACCCATACCTCCATTTGCAATCTCTTTCCATGATTTGTCAGAGTATGAAGCCTGTGGGAGCATCGTTGGACCAAGTGCTATGGAAGGTTTTTCATCTATCCTTGGAAGGCAAGGCTAGGGAGTGGTACATGAGCCTTCCAAGACATGTAGCTGATGCATACCATAGCTGGGGGAACTTAAGGAAGGCATTTTTGGAGAAATACTTTCCGGCTTCTCGGACTTCATCAATGAGGAAGGAGATTTATTCTGCCAAGCAAGACTACGATGAATCCCTCTATGATTACTGGAATAGATTTCAGGACCTACTTTCAAGATGCCCACATCATCAAATTCCGGATGAGCAACTGGTGCAGTACTTCTATGATGGGTTGAAGAACCAAGAGAAGGGTATGTTGGATGCTGCATCGGGAGGATCTTTAATAGACTCTACTGCTGCAGAAGCTTGGGATTTGATAAAGAAGATGGCCCTGAATCATCAACAACATGGGGTGAGAGATACAAAAGGAGTACATGAGATGGGAGCTGCTTCGGTGCACAACAGAAGAATGGACGCTTTGGAATCAAAGGTAGATTCTTTGGGAAGCCAAGTGACATCTCAACTATCTTTGATCACTGCTGAATTGAAGAATATGAGTGTGCATCGCCCATCCACTCCTATGGACATTACAGCGCCTAGTTGTGACACATGTGGATCAGTCATGCATATATCTAGCGTTTGTCCGGGCCGTTATGAGGAAGTGTCTGCAGTCTTCCAAGGCCGCCCAAATCAAAAATGGGACCCCTACTCCAACACTTACAATGAGGGATGGAAATCAAACCCTCGATTGGGCTGGAGGAATGATGATAGTAGACCTCCAAATAGATTTCAGAAGAGTGGAGGAGCTGGTCCATCTTCAAACCAGTTCCAAAACCAGTCTCAAGCCCTTGCGGTCCCACCTAAGGATGAAACGAATCAACTTCTACAGAATATGATGGCTTTAATGAAGGAAGAAAGGGCTGCCAACGCTACTCAGTTCAACTCCTTAGCTTCACTAATTCAACAAGATTCATCCAAGAATGATGCTAGATTTAGTGCTTTGGAAAAGAGAATGGAGCAATGGGAGACTAAATCTGAGAACATGAACTCCTATGTAACTCAGTTATCCAATAACATGAGTGAGCAACAAGCTAGAAGCAGTGGCACCATTCCTTCCAATACCGTCATAAACCCAAAGGGTTTGAATGCAATCACGCTACGAAGTGGGAAGCAAGTAAGATTCAGTGAAGAGGAAGAGGAATCAGTTGATGAGGAGATTGAGTGTGATAAGCCTCTTCCTAAACATTCAAGAGTTAAGAATTCTGAGAGTGCAAAAGAGAGAGAATTGCTAGATGAAAAGAAGTCAACTCTTCTAAGTAGCAAAGGAGCAAAATCTGAGAGTAATTATGAGGAAGCAGCATCAAAGGAGCATGATGGGTCATCTAAGCATGGAGAGGGTAAGCTGAATGATAAAGAGGTAAATCTCAAAGACCTTCCTTTTCCTAATTCATACTTGATAAGCAAAAGAAAGACTGAAACTAAATTTGAAAAAGATGTTATTGATTTGTTCAGTAGAGTGGAAGTTAATATTCCTTTGCTTGATCTTGTTAAGAGAGTGCCTGCTTATGCTAAATACCTTAAAGACCTATGTACCCATAAGAGAAAGTTTAGACCAAATGAAAGAGTCCAAGTGAGCTCCAATGTGTCTGCCCTGTTTAAGCCTCAAATCCCTGTGAAATGCCAGGACCCTGGATCCTTCACCATCCCTTGCACAATAGGAAAAGTTTCTATAAGGGGAGCCTTACTAGATCTAGGAGCAGCTATTAATGTGATGCCTAAGTCTGTATACACTTCACTAGGAGTCAAGACGCTTAAGTCTACCACTGTAGTACTCCAGTTGGCTGATAGAAGTATTAGGTATCCGGAAGGCATCATAGAGGATATTTTGGTTCAAGTTAAGGATTTGGTCTTTCCTGCTGATTTTTATGTACTTGATATGTCCTCTGAGCTTGTCCATGACACCACACTGATTCTTGGTAGACCCTTCTTGAGGACTGCTAACACTATGATTAGCATGAAAGAAGGTACCATCACTATGGAAGTAGGAGATCATAAGGTTTGTTTTAACATGTATGAAGCAATGAGGCATCCTTATGAAGACTATTCTCTCTTGGGTGTAAATATGATTGATGTTGCTATTGATGATGGCTGTTCTGAGTTTGAATTGCTAGATGATTCCTCTAGTTCTGAACTTTATTCAGTTATTTCTGATGATGAGGATGACACTATTTCTTCTTTTTCATCCCTTTACTCTACACCTTCTTCTTGCTCATGTGGTGATAAAGATACATGCCTTGATTGCACTGTGTTTAATTGTATGCTCTCCCTCCCACATGCATTCTCTATTTCCTCCCTTGACCCCAATTTAGACTTTGATCCCTCTATTGTCAGCGATAATTC